GGAAGGAAGGAAGGAAGGAAGGAAGGAAGGAAGGAAGGAAGGAAGGAAGGAAGAGAAAGAGGAGACAATTCTCCGTGCTCATTGGCCTTGGATGTTTTCTTGCAGATGTTTTATGATCCAAGTGTATAACTCCATCAGTAGTAGAAGGACAAGGGGAATGTGAAGAAGAGGAGGAGGAAGAGGAAGACGACTATGCAAACCTGGGTGCTCACTTACTTGCAGACGTCTTATGACCCAAATATGTAACACCATCAATTTTAGAAGGAAGAGGGGAATGGGAAGAAGAGGAGGAAGAGGAAGACGACTATGCAATCCTGGGTGCTCACTCATCTTGGTTGTTTACTTGCAGACGTTTTATGACCCAACTATATAACACCATCAGTGCCAGAAGGGAGAGGAGAATGTGGAAAGGAGGAAGGTGGGGGGAGGGGGAAGAAAACTCCCTCAGATCCAGGGGTTGTGTTTTTGACGTACAGACGACACACAAGACCTCCATGCAACTGACAAGGCAATTCCTCGAACGGCTGTGAGATCAGCGAGGCTGAAAAAAAAAACAACGAATTTTGTTGGCTGCTCTCGCACCGTGTCTTCCAGATGTGTTCCAACCACAGAGCCCAGCATGCTCAGCCAGATGGGCTGAAGGCCTCCCCATCTGGAAGCCACAAAGCTGGAGACAAGCGGAGTTCGCACACACACACACACACACACACACACACACGCGCGCGCGCCTGGTTCTCTGCAGGAGAAACGATAGCACTGCTGTCAGCGCATACTTGGGAGATTGCACAAACGTTGGCCGAGAGAATGGAAAGGCTTGTGTTAGGCAATGTTCTTGCAGAGCGCCTTCAAGAGGGGCGAGCCCTGGGCCCCACTCCAAGCTTCAGATGTTAACAGATTAACAGAGTTGGAAGGGACCTTGGAGGTCATCTAGTCCAACCCCCACCCCCACCCAAGCAGGAAACCCTACACACCATTTCCGACCAATGGAAGCCCAGTCGCTTCTTGAAAGCCTCCAGGGAAGGAAGCTCCCAAAACGTCTGAGGGAAACTTCTTGTTCTATTGAATATAGAAGAATAGAGTTGGAAGGGACCTTGGAGGTCATCTAGTCCAACCCCC